CGCAGCAAACCCTTGGGGTTTCCAAATGCACCTGGCACTGTTCCTCCTCTTCAAACAGTAACTGCTCAACCCCGGTCAGCCAAGTTGTTGGCATCTGCGCCACTTGGAAGAATTTCTAAACATAGGTGTCCCGGGCCCAACGCAGGCAGTTCTGACGCTCCCCTTCCTGCCATGGACCGCCTCTCCCGATGCCTTCCTCGACGAGGTTGGCCCCTTCGCGGGTGTCTGATGAGCAGCAGTTGCTCTGTGCCCCGGGCTCGTGTCTGTCGGTTCCCACCGGCAGCCCCACGTTTCCTTTCTGCTAGTGCTGAAGTGCATCACCTCCGGCTGCAGGCCCAGCAGCACATCACGCTGCTGTTGCCGGCTGGCTCGGGGGGCTGATGCCGTCTGTACCGCCACACTCCGTACCGACCGGCGTCCTGAGCGCCCTGTGCGGTGCACAGCTGCCAGCACCTTTGCTTTGTTGAGTCCAGTCTTTGGTTTAACCCACGATTTGCTGAACTCCCTGGCCTTGTAATGTGTTTGCTCTTTGGACGTGGGGTGCGATTCTCTGGAGATGTCACCCGCCCTGGCAGAGCGAGCTCTGCGCTAGGCCAGCGCCCTTCCTGACTTCTTGTGTTCTTTGCTGCGTTCCCGGGTCCTCAACTGGCCCTTTTCCAAAGCACATTTCTGGCCTCGCTGAGGTGTCACTCATCCTGCGAGAACGCACCTCTTCTCGCCCTGTAACACCTTGGGTCGAGAACGGTACCCTCCCTGCGTTATCGGGGGCGTTAGCTACGGGAGTCCGCTTCCCCTGGGCAGAGACGCGGTTGGCACGGTGAGCTCTGGCCTGGCTTCAGCAAACCCCTGCTCGGGGTTCTGGCGCAGGCGCCCGTCTGCGCTGCGTAAGCCGCCTGCGCGTTTGGGGCGGTACCGCGAGTACCGAGCCGCAGCTTGCTTTTATTGCCGTGGCTAACGGGCCCGTCTCTTTGCGTTGCCAGGACTTCGGCATGGCGGAGGAGTTCGCTACCAAGGCCTTGGATCTGAAACCCAAGTCCTACGAGGCCTATTACGCCAGAGCACGAGCCAAGAGGAACAGCAGGTGGGTTCGGTTCTGTGCATCGCTCCGCACAGATTTTGGCAACTTCCCGGCACTCCCAGCAACTGGTGCGCTTTTCCGCTAGTTATACTGGGAGTTTGCCAAGGAGAAGTTATTTCCCTTGTGCACTTTCCAGCTGCATCAGGGCTCTGTACCCGTTAAGGCCACCCGAGCCCAGAGGCAGGGTGGAGCACTCCGTTAGGTTGTTACGCAGTCCAGGAGTGACAAGTGGCTATGAAGGGGGATTATTTTAAGGGGGGGGGGAGTGCTCCTCCATGTGCCACCGAACTGCCCCGCTGCATTACTGGTTACCAGGAATAACTGGGTGCTTATACAGGACACGAAAGGTTGAATCGTAGCAGATAGAAACAAAGGGAGGGAGGAGGAACCATGTCTTGAAGCTGGAGAAACGGCAGCCCGTGGCGGTACGGTTGCAGCAGAGGGAGCGCTGCCCGTGTGATTCACCGCGGCTTTCCCGGGCGGAACAGGTGGGGAAGCGGAGTTCAGCTCTGAAGGCGACAGTAAAGGGCTTGTGAGAGGAAAGACTTCTGCTGCCTGCCTGCTGGGAGAAGCTGCTGTGGGACCAGGGGAGGGTTCCGGGCTGGGGCTGCGCTTTCGCCGCAGGAAAGGCTGGAGATGGATGTTCCGGGCTGGAGAACATCCAGCTCCTGTGGCCACCTGCAGCGGGGGGTGAGGAGTGGGAGCAGTTGCAGGTGGATGCGCAGGAGGCGGGCGATGCTGAACTCGGCTTTCCCCAGGCTTTTAGTAAGTTTACTTTGTTGTTCTCAACAGAAAGCTGCTGGCTGCTCTTGCTGACGCGTCGAGGAGGAGTGCAAACAGCTCCAGAGAACGCAGCAACAGAAGCATCAGTCGCCTCAGCAGCCGCAGCATGTGCACGACTCCGAGAGTGAGGAGGGCCTCACGCAGGGTGCGGGTGATCATTTTAATCTTCAGGACAGGGAGGAAGAACAGCCATGCCCTGATGAGGCCGTTGCCTCGCCAGAG